TGGCCTTTAATATTTATATAGAACTGTATGTCTCCATGTAGACCAATGCTTTTCAAAACTAGATGTAATTTAAGGTACATGTTGCCCTCAGGGTGCAGGAGCAGAGCGCAGAAGCTGGTCAGTCTCCTCCACAACATCAAAATGAACTGGACTCTGTTTTTCAGGTGTGTAAGTATAAAAAAATATAACATATTTAGTTTTTCACAATTTTGCTTTGGACCATGGCCCTAGAATAAGATGATGTATCTGGTATTATGTTTCAGGACCTGGAAGACAGCATTGTAACATTTGTTAAAAACAAGCTCAAGGTTATCAAAAGCTGTATGAGCACCGGTAAGCTAAAAAGCTTTGAGTCTGATGGGGAGGATGAGAGCTTACCAGAGGATACAAGGCAGAGAAGGAGCTGCATGGAGGCTTTGGTGAAAATTGCTCTGCACTTTCTGAGGATACAGAAGCAAGAGGAGCTGGCTGACCAGTTGGAAAGCAGTAAGATTTATCCTGGTTTTTCAGCAGTAAAAAAAATCAAAACTAGATTTACCTAGTCTGGACGTTCATTGGAAAAATATCTGACACCAAGTTTAAATCAATAGCTATTTATTTTTTTTGCAGGGAATAAGCTATATAATAATTTATTTATTCCTGTTTGTTATCACTCAGAATGCTCTTATGCAATTCTTCAAGAGAAACATAAATTCTTGCTGAAAAGGAAGTTTCAGTATGTGTTTGAAGGGATTGCAAAGTCAGGACACCAGACCCTTCTGAATCAGATCTTCACAGAACTTTACCTCACAGACGGTGGGAATGAAAGTCATGATAATCAGCATGAGATTGGACTGATTGCAACAGCAAGCAGAGCACAAAACAAACCTGAAATGAAGATTAAATGTGAGGATATATTTAAAACCACAAAGATGAATAAACCAGTCAGAACAGTGATGACGAAGGGAGTGGCTGGGATTGGAAAAACTGTTCTAACACAGAAGTTCACTCTGGACTGGGCTGAAAACAAAACCAACCAGAAAATCCATTACATATTTCCATTCACATTCAGGGAGCTCAATTTCTTGCAAGGGAAGGAGCTCAGCTTGGTAGAACTTATTAAGCATTTCTTTACTGACTGTAAAGACCTAGGAAATTACAGATTTGAAGATATCTGTGTTGCATTCATCTTTGATGGTCTGGATGAGTGTCAACTTCCTCTAGACTTCTTCAGCAATAAGATTCTGACTGATGTTACAGAGTCCGCCTCACTGGATGTGCTGCTGACAAATCTCATTAGAGGGAACCTCTTACCTTCTGCTTATCTGTGGATCACCACACGACCCGCAGCAGCCAGTCAGATCCCTCTTGAGTGTGTGGACTTGGTGACAGAAGTCAGAGGGTTTGCTGAACAGCAGATGTGGGAGGAGTACTTCAGGAAAAGATTCACAGATGAGGATCTGGCCAGCAATGTTATCTCTCAAATCAAAACATCAAGAACCCTTCGCATAATGTGCCAGATCCCAGTCTTCTGCTGGATCACAGCTACAGTTCTGGAGAATGACTTTAAAACCTGTGAAACCAAAGAGCTGCCAAAGACAAGGACTGAGTTGTACATCCATTACCTGTTGATTCAAGCTAAACTAAAATTAATCAAATGTGACAAAGTACCTGAAACACAGCAACACTGGAGTCTAGAAACCAGGGGCATGATTGAAATTCTGGGAAAACTGGCTTTTAATCAGCTACAGAAAGGAAACCTGATCTTTTATGAGTCCGATCTGGAGAATAGTGGAATCAATATCCACGATGCTTCAAAGTACGCAGAGGATTTTCCACAGATGTTTATAGAAGATAAGGGGCTGTACCAAGGCAAGGTGTTCAGTTTTGTACATTTGAGCGTTCAGGAATTTCTGGCAGCTCTTCATGTGCATCTGACGTTCTTCAACTGTGGCATTAACCTACTAGGAAAGTCTGACTCAGAAGAAGCTACTGAGGCGGGTTTCTATAAAACTGCTGTGAAGGAAACCTTGCAAAGCCGAAATGGACATCTGGACCAGTTCCTTTGTTTCCTTCTAGGTCTTTCATTGAAAAGCAATAAGACTCTCCTACAAGGCCTTCTGATAAAGACAGATAGTAACCCAGAGGCATATAAAGAAACAATCAAACACATCAGAGACAAGATCAGTGAGAATCTGCCCACAGAGAAAGGTCTCAATCTGTTTTACTGTTTAAATGAGCTGGGTGATAATTTCTTGGTAGAAGAGATCCAGCAATATTTGTCATCAGGGCGACTCTGTACAGACAAACTGTCCCCTGCCCATTGGTCAGCCCTGGTGTTCAATTTGCTCTCCTCAGAAGAATATCTAGATGTTTTTGACCTGAAGAAATACTCTGCTTCTGAGGAGGCTCTGATGAGGCTGTTGCAAGTTGTGAAAGCTGCAAGCAAAGTCTTGTAAGTAAGACAATAGAGTAGCTTTATGAAAAATATCTAAAAAACATTCAAATAAGCAAATAAAAATCAACATACATTTTCTTTTCTGCCTTCTTTAGGCTGGATTCCTTTCAATTCTCAGAGAAAAGTCTTACAGCTCTGGCTTCGATTATAAGCTCAAAGGATTCTAATATGAGCGAGCTTGAGATAAGTAACACAAGGCTCCAGGATTCTGGAGTACAGCTGCTGATGGATGGAGTGGAACCAGAATCCTGCAAAATGGAGTCCCTAAGGTCAGATCAAATTGTTACTTGTTATATTCTAATTCAAAAACACACATTTGTCATCTAAACTATAAAGTAAGTAAGTAAGAATTTATTTATATAGCACCTTTCACAAGCATTGAGGTCACAAAGTGCTTTACAAAGGTGTACAATAAAAAAACAACAAAAATATCAGAGGAAAAATGCTGCTGACAACCCACTCACTGTGCAGGTTGTCATATTTTGTTACCTCTCTAATCCCACAAAAACTCAGCAATTTTTGTTTGCAATCTGTACTTTATCTTTTATAGGTGACGTTATAATTAGGACCGCTCAAATAGATATTGTAAAGAGGCAGCTCTGTTTCTAATTTCTATTAAATGGATCTGACTATGAGGCAGGTCCGCCGCTCCAACATCAGGATGAGGCAGGTGCAGCAATGAAGGGGAATGAATAGATAATCCTACTATAGAACCTCAATTTGTATAAAAATACTTTGACCATAATATTTTATCTTTAAATTTGAATTGTCACTAAAACAGAATTCTATAAAGAGGATCAATTGCAAGTGGAGCAATTATGAAAAGCCAAAAGTGGCCGCATATTGTATACATGAAAAATATTTATTTTTGATTTATACTTGAGATACATGTATCAAGTCAAATTAAATAGATAGATATTTCTTTATGTCTGTTGTTATTAACTGTTATATGCATATTTTTACTTAACAATCCTTGAACATTTTTTAAAATCTCTCACTTTATGAATGCAAATCTTTCTTACTATTAAAAGCTTTTTGAAATATTAGAATTTGTATTCATTACATCAAATCACACAAATGTTTAGCTCAATTATTAGTTTATTAAAACCTTAGCTATTTTTTTTAAGTTTAGAAATGTCCTTAGAGGTTTTCATCTGTTTTCGGATTTTGACTCTATCTATAGAAAAGTTTCCAGTTTTCCAGTTTTTATTCCCCTGTATTATCAACCTCCGCTTTCTGAATTTAGGCTCCCCTGGGCCAGTAGGGGGCTCTATGGGGTCACATAACCCTACTATTTTGAGCCAACCCTGGGGACAGCTCTTCACTTACAGTATTTGAGGTTTAATTTGAGGAAATCATCCACAGTTTTTAGAATGAAAAAAGAATACTGTACAAGTAATGTCTTTTTTCTGTAAAGAAGAAGGAAAAAAAAAATCTGTTCTACCTTTTACTGCTGTAAGAAATGGATAAAAGCTGTCAAATGTTTTAAAGAGAGCGATATTTGTGTTATTTGCTTGTGATGGTGTTAATCTTATTGATGAAATGGGTTTTAACCATATTATTTACCAAGGTTTCTTTGAGGATTGGCTTATTCTTTACACCTCAGCCCACCCATCCATCTTCTCCCACTTTTTCTGTCAGGTGGGGCCGGTGAAAGACTGGCAGTTTATGGGCAAGTCACCAGTCTGTTACAGGGCAACAGAGAGAAATACAACCATGCTTACACAATCATACCTAGGGACAACTCAGAGAAGCCAATTAACCTCACAGTCACATTCTTGGACTGTGAGAGGGAGCCAGAGTACCCTTTGCACAGGGAGAATTTTCAAACTCCATACAGAAAATCCCTCAGCCAAGAATCAAACCCACAACCTTCTTTCTGCAAGGAAACAGTACTACAAACTGCATCATAGTGCTGCCCACCCCCCAAGTCCTTCTTCATTAAAACTAAATTCCACAGTTTTTCGTATTTCATATTGATCAGGTTAAAACATTGTTTTCTCATGCATCGTGTTTTCAGATTCAGCCTCTGCAACCTCTCAGAGAAATGCTGTAAAAATCTATCTATACTTCTCAGCTCTAATCTAAGAGCTTTGGATCTGAGTAACAATGACATTCGGGATTCTGGACTGAAGCGCCTGTCTGATGGACTCAAGAGTCCTAACTGCAGACTGGAAATACTCAGGTTAGGATTCCCAACTTATTCTTTGATTATTGCCTCATTTTATATATATATATATATATATATACACACACACACACACACACACATATATATATATATATATATATATATATATATATATATATATATATATACAAGGTCTATATATTATAAAATATTCAATATATATACAACTATATATATATTCATAAATTCATACAGATTTATACATACATAAGATTTTACTTTGTCTAGAATGAATTTTTCTCTGCAAAAATTCAAAATCAATGTTTTAATTGACTAATTAAGCATTTACTTCATCGTTATCTATTAATAATTTTTCCTTTTTTATTATTTGAATTACTGGTTTGAATTTGTCATTGTCATTGATGGGAGGGTATGTAAACATTGATGACCAACTGTACTGTATATGTAAATGGACAATACCACCAATCTCACCAAGTTCATTAAATTGTTGATTTTGAATTAAAATACAACAATAAGTAATAGAAGGGTCTTTCATGTAAATTCTGTTTTTGCAGGCTTTCAGGCTGCTTGATAACAGAAAACGGATGTGACTCTCTGCTCTCAGCCTTGAACCGCAGCTCCCATCTGAGAGAGCTAGACCTAAGTTACAATCACCCAGGAGACTCAGCAGTGAAGGGTCTAACTGCTATACAGGAAGATCCAGAATGGAAACTGGAAACTCTTATGTAAGAAGAAAGGTTTTATTATTATACTGTGAGTTGAGGAAGAAAAATGTGTTAAAGCAGGATTTTTTAATTTTTTTTTTACAAAATTCAAATAAGGTCTTGGTCTTAGCCTCTAAAGGTCTTGGCCTTGTCTTGGTCTCGGTACTCCTTGGCCTGAGTTGGTGTGGTCTTGACCACCACATTACACTAACCCTCCGTGTGCGCATTCCCCCGGAGGGTCTGCTACATTGAGGGCAGTCTCAAACCACATAATGGGTAGGGGGAGTGGAGCGTTGCATGAGTGCAGACTTGCTGGAATTTGGCAGCGTGTGTAACAGCAAACTAATGGCAGACGAAACACGTGCATTCAAATGTAAGATCCCCCTGTTTTTTGTATCTTCATCATGCTGACAGAAAATCCCAATTCAGGAAAAATAAAACAGGAAACTTTAATACCAAAAGGGAAGGGTTTGTTTGAAATGGTTGTATTTGACTTTATAAAATTAGTTTTAACCCCCAAATGTCTGAAGTCATATGAACCTGCGCCACAGAGCTACAGTCATGCACATGGGGTGTGTGACTGTGTTGCAATAGCAATGGCTTCTTGCCTTTTCCATCAGAGGGAAGAAGGGAGGCCATGCCATTGTTGTTCATACCTCCCCACTGTCAATCAAGGTGCCTTCCACAGCTGAGAGTATGACTGCATTGGGAATGGGGACAGTCTGGGATTGGGTCAGGTGGTCAATAGAGGTGGGCAGGTCGTGAAACTGGCTGCTCAACACAAAACACAAAAACACATATTTAAAAAGATTAAATATAATTATTTCTGTTTAATGCATTACACAACCTACACATTTACAGGCAGATAATGAAGCAAATCTCATGGTGCAGAATGTAATGTGAAGCAAATACAAATGTGATAACTGTGTTTGTATGTGGAGACAGACTACAGTACAACAGCCTTATTTTGATTTGTATTTTCCTTTTTAGACTTAAGTTTGGTGGAAAGAACTGGTTGAGACCAGGTCTAAAAAAGTGTAAGTATTGCTTTAATATTGAGCATAAAAAATACTAAAAATGACAATATAACTTTTCTAACAATTGCTCAGGAAGTTATTTATTTCAAAGGTCCAAGCATAATCAGATTCTATATTTGTATCTAATTAGAAACATAATTGCTTTAGAGTTTTCTATACAATGCCATCATACAAGACCAGCTCTTCTATAGCAGACAAAAACATGTTCTATATACCAAAATAAACGGCGTATCCATGATGCAGAACTTAATTATTCTTTTTTTGTATAAGCTTTTATTACTTATCTTCACTATACCTATATTAAATGGCCATTGGATTTAACAGAAAAAAGTGAAAAAATGGCATGTTAACATATCCATTATGGATAACTAATCTAATAATGTCATGACAGTAATTTGGACTTTAAATGACTCAGTACTATCACTTTTGTAGTAACTGATAAGACTACTTGACTAAAATGCTTTGATAAATAACACATTAAAAATATTAAATGTTGTGTTTGTTTTCTCATTCAGATTCCTGTACCCTGACCTTTGACACAGACACTATAAACAGGGGTATAGAATTGTCTGAAAACAAGATGAAGGTGACATATTTGGCAAAGTTACATGCATACAATGACCACCACAAAAGGTTTGAGTACTGGTGTCCTCAGCTGCTGTGCTCCGAGGGTGTATCTGGTCGAGGTTACTGGGAGGTAGACTGGAGTGGAAGAGTTTACATTGCAGTGAGCTACAGAGAAATCGAAAGGTGTGGAGGATTAAAGGACTGTTTGTTTGGATGGAACAAACAGTCCTGGGCTCTGGTCTGCTCTGAAGATGGTTATTCTGTCTGGCATGATGACAGGATGACACCAATCTCTTCCTCCTCCATCTCCCACAGAGTAGCAGTCTATGTTGACCTCCCAGCTGGGATCCTTTCCTTTTACAAAGTCTCATCTGAGACACTAATCCACATCCACACTTTCAGTACTACATTCACAGGACCACTGTTTCCTGGGTTTGGGTTCTGGTCTGGTTGGCCATGCTCCTCAGTGTGTATGTTGGCCTCCTGCTGCTGATCAATGCAGCGCACATCTGTTGTTAGTTACCACCAACCTTACCATTCTCTTATAATTAGGCAGTGACTTTTTAAATTAACTAAATATAATTTGACATAAAATATAATTCCTTTTAAGACGGAAAATAGGGATGGATTTAGTTTTACTTTCGTCTTTCGAGCATATCTCCAAGAGTGGGGTCACTGTTGTATTACTATATGTAGGCGTGACGGGAGATCATTGGTCAATGCAACAGCTAGCAAAAGGAAGAGCTTGGGGGGAGTAGTGGGGTAGTGGTTAGGGCATAGAGCTTGGAATCCTGAGGTTCTGAGTTCGAGCCCCACTCCCACACACTGCCAATCTTGGTCCCAAAGAGCCTTAACCCCACACTGCTCCCCTGGCACCACACAATGGCAGCACACTGCTCCCCAACAGGATTGGTTAAATGAAGAGAGTTCATTTCATTGCTCTGTACTTGTGACAGTGTAATGACAATAAAAGCCAGGAAAAAAAAAAAAAAGTTTTTGGCATAATGCATGTGGATGGGGAAAAAATATATTGTCCTACGTGCAATTTTCCACATAGAAGTAGCAGTAGATAGCTGATACCAGTTTTGAGTTCCAGCAACAAATAATTTTTATTTACTTTATGTTATTGACGATGAAAACAAGGTTTTTCTTTTGGCCAACAGGACTTTTTACAGTAAGGGATATTTTGAGGGCTTAAATTCTTTACTTCAATTGAGTCATAGCTAGTTCAATCCAATATGGCTCTGGGCTGGTTCCCCTCTTCACCCCCATTTCCTCTGTTTCTGGTGAAGGCAGTTGAGAGAAATCCTCCACCTAATACAAGTACTCCATTGCTAAACTATCATCTCTGTGATATTTCTCTATGTTCGTGTCCCTGTCAGTTACAACCGAAACCACAGCCAGCCCTCAAACCCTTTACTCAACATTAGCAAAGCTGATATTGGTTGGATGTAGAAGGTAAAGACAACGTATTGGTTTGATGTGCCCACATTGGCCTTTGTACAATGATAATTTTTCGCTCTTTTGGTATCTCTAAAAAAACTATGGCTATTTCTAACTTATTAAAATAAGCCAGTCAGAAAAATACATACTTGGAATGTACTCACTTTTTATAATGCTAATCAAATTCCTTTCTTGGTATGGCAGGCATGTACAGTATACAACAGTGCTACAGCTAAGGTAAAATGTCTCGTACTAAAGTAATGATTTAAGGTGTGCATACTTATGCAACAGGGATATTGCAAATATCTTTATAAAATGTTTTCCATGTAAAAAAAATAGTTTCCTTTTCAGTTATATTGTACTTTTATTTTAAAAAAAATTATTATGAATTTAAATAGAAATTTTTCCTTTTTGACTGTACTGTGAACACTTTAATGTTAATTGCTGTATACTTCGGTCTGTTTGGCATGTTTGCATATTTTAAAATGAACATGTGATTATACTTGTCATTAAACTTGTCATTATAATCCCAGAAAAATACACCAAATCATTTTAATACACCAAAGAAGCTTGTAGAACTATGCAAGAAAAGCAATAAATTTTTTAAGAGCACTCATGAGGCGGGTTTTCTCATTTGTGAATGTTTTTTTTTTTACAAGAACTTTTATCATTTCTGTTTTATAAAAGGGTATTTTATTAATATAGACTATAAATCATTTATTAGCATCTACATTGGTGAAACATTAATTTAAATGGTTGAGTGCAGTGGCTAGGAGTATATCAGTTGGTCTGTAATGCTTTCTGCAGGAGGAACCGTGACAGGCTCTAATGGTGCAATCACATCGAACGCAAATGATTCTAGAATGTTGCTCTATTTTAGTGCTCTTGCTCGATTGACATTTCAGCACCAGTTCACGATGCAAACAAGACACCGGGTCATCTAATAGGTGGAGCTTCTATCCACTTGCCTTTGGTCTGATTAACTCAACTTGGCAGTCCTAGATTTTTTCAGAGTGAGTCACAGTGCTGTATTGAATGTAGAAAGCCAGTACCCTGTGTCCACCTTAAGAAACACATCCTTCGCATCACTTTGCTCCTGAACACTCCTATACAAAGGGATAACATATAAATTACTTGCTTAATTCACATTATTCAAATTCAGGTGTTAATGCACTTTAATATGTTAATGGTGAATAGCTGCCCGAATTTTGGCTTTGATCAAACAGATTGGACCAAATAATTTTTAATTAAGAACAGCCTGATGAGGTTGCTCATGGAAAGTATTTTCTTCTGAACACCTTTTCAGGGTGTGAACCTCAAGTCATTGCCCATAGGAAGACGTTACTTGGATATAACCTAACCAAATATCTTCAGAACACTTCCAAATGACACAAAACTGATTTGGGTGAGTAGAACATGATGTAATAACGTAAAATCAAGGGCCCAATGTAAAAAAAAAAAAAAAAAAACGGCGTTCCCCTTTAAGTCAGTCTGGGAAGGCTCAATACTCTGTGGTTTAAAACATCAGACAAATCGTAGCACAGGAGGTGGGACTATAATGCAACACCACTTTTCTGTAAAAAAAATAACACTTGAGACTGCAGCTACAATGGACCAAAGTTTAAATGTATTTCCCTCAAGAGCTGTTTATACCGTTAAAATTTCAACAACTGGATGCTTTAAGAGCTTTTCTTTGATAAAAATAGATGTTCTTACATCATATCTGTAATTATGTGATTGGTGTGATGATGGTGCCACTGTTTGGGAGCCTCAAATCTGTCAGTGAGCCCCAGGGCAACTGTGGCTACAATGTAACTTGCCACCATCAGTGTCTGAGTGCGTGTGTGAATGACTGAATGTAGTGAAAAGGGCTTTAGTCAAGTCCTCTGACTTGAAAAAGCGCTATATAAGTACAGGCCATTTACCATTTAAACTATTTCTACTGATTCTGTCAGTCCCGCCTTTGAAATTGAACTACTGACTCTTCCACAGCCAGGCTTTTTGCTGTGTATGGAAGCCAATCTGGAAGCCCCCCTTCGATTTCAGACACGTAGCTGTGATCCTTGGTAGATGGATGACAATCTCAGTAGGCTATTATTTAATAAGATTGGAGACAGTAAAAGTCCAGCAAAGCTGTTCTAGTCCTTCACACAATACCAAAGAAGCCATATGTAGTATGCATTATCAATCATGGCAAATGGTATGCTATAGGCCCTTCAATTAACATTTCAGAAAATTACGTTTGGACAAATGCAGAGCAAATTCAAGGAAATACTTTGAGTCTCAAGAAGAATATAAGATTTTTACAAACCTTGTTTTTTTTTTTTATTTCTTTGCATTTAGTTTTCCAAAAGAGTGATTCAGTTACATTGATGATGCAGTTTACAGTGATTGGGCTCCACATTGATTACATAACATGCATTTAAGAAAAAGAAAAAACATAATATACTCTTATTGTACATTCTTAACCTCTGCACCATGTTCAACCTGAATAAGAAACCAAAGTAAAACAAAGAAAGGTAAGTCAAAAACAATCATATTCAGGAATTTCATTTTAGATTGGGCTCGTATCACCAGTGGGAGGTTCTAAAAAACTGTTCATGTGTTGTTTTTCACCATGATGTTCATATGGCAAAAGTAAAAAGGTGGTTTGCAGATGCCACAAAAGCTATGAGTAAAACTCTAACATATCCTAGTGCAAATGCCAGCAAAGACAGTCACCCAAGAGCTCATCAAGAGGTCTCCTTCATTTAGCAGAGCGTAAATATGGTGTTAACTGAGCATGTTCATCATCTACTGGCAGGATTCAGCTGAAGAAATAGATAGAAATGGGACAAATGTTTCAACATCCACAATAAAAGTCCAACCTCATCTGGTAATTTTTCACTCTGCTAAATATTTTCCAACTTAGTTGCTTGATTACAATTTTGGGATTTTTTAAACTTGTTTCTGGGGCAACACACTTTGATGTATCAGCCTTTCTGGTTCTATTTTCCTGCTAATAATGTCATAAACATTTAGGATTTTTTTTATATGAATGTCAGACGGTAATCAATGTATCTGTGATGCCTTTTCCATCATAAGCAATACATTTTTCTCTCAGTCCCTCTAATCTACATCTATCACGTTAAAACACAAATGTTTCATGTAAAGTAAATGTTTTAACCATAAAAGAAAACTGTATTTTTTTGTAAAAGCTATATTAATGTTCTCATATATCTTACATACCAGGCTGAATTTGGGACAAGTAAACATGCAACAGAAAAGCAGCACTAACCTTAGATAAACATGATGTGATAATAGCCCTTGTCAAAGGCAGTTCACATGCAGTGACGCCTTTAGATGAGTCCCAACAAGAGACTGGTTTACATACAGGCAATGTATGGCTGTTATTTCCACAAAGGGCCAATGATAAAACAGTAGTTCAGAGTCTCTTTTAATCCCAGCTTCCGTTCTTATGCTTTTTAAAGGTTTTCTATTGTAAGGGGGCTTGTTTGAATGTGATAATATCAGGGGATCACCATCCGGCCTACCAGTAAAAAGAATTAAAGGGAAAAGAAATTTTGTGAGAAAGAGAGAAAAGGAGAGTTTTATTATTAATGATAGTTTAATTAAGCCCAGAGTCCCACAGTGCCCATTTTATTGGTATATATAATAAATATAGGTGTAATGTGTCTGTTGACAAGGTATTTACACCCGATTTTAGTAACAACCCTGAGTAATTAAGTGGGATGAAATATATATTCCCCTATCAATGCAAATGATCCATTATCTGATTCAATCCAAACTATTGGCCCATATAAATGTTATTCATGACAAATATATTGTATTAAGAATAAAAGAAAATTACATTCTGAAGACTTTCTCTACCTTAATGTAAAAGAGATAACAGTGACTTAAGATCTATTTCTTCCAGTGAGCACCGACGCAGCCAAAATACGGAAGTAAAAGGAAACATCCTCATTTCATCAAAAGTATTCCTTGCAAGACTTCTAACAGGGAAAGAAACGAATGATAAAAAGCACCAATGACTGTTCAGAAGAGAGATTTAGACAGATCAATATCAGGAATTGTTTTCAATGGCCTTTGTGTAAACTGAATATACACAAGTTAAATGGAAATATGCTGAATGTTGTTTAAAGTTTACTTGGAAACATTTGTAAAAACATGGGACAGAGTATTCTTGCCAGACGGGATTACAAATTCACTATTTGAATATTGTTGTTACACACATAATGCTTAGGAGGAAGATTATGAAACACCAGAAAAGCACATCTTTTGTACTTTATACTGTGGGAATTTCTTTCTAATCCAGGCAATGTCTTAAATCTGTCTCTACCAACAAAGGCTTAAGTATTAATCAATATTCAGTATGTCTATCTATTTAAAACATAAAACAACATTCTTGCTCTACAGAGGAATTACTTTGGACTATATTCTGCATGTATATTTCTGGGGTTGTTACCAAAATATGATGTTAATTTCATGTCAACATATCTGTTGTTCAATTTATATTTCTAAGTAACTTGGCTGTGCTAAAATAGAAATCTTTTCTCAATGGGTTGTCTTACCAAAAGGAGACGTGAGAATTTGGATAAAACAGTGTTTGCGGTTATAAAAATAAAGATAAACTCTACCGCTATATAAAATTTATCAAAAGAAAACGTTTTACTCACACATCCTAATTTTGTCTCTTAACTAGATGTTGGTTGGCTCAAAATAACATTCTGGTCTCATCATCTGTATAACTACAGGGCTTAGGAGTTCTGTCTTTGAGCCAGTTTACCAGGATAATTATGACAACATATGTGCACTTCAACATTTCCATTTAAAAGGTGCTAAAGCTAAGTCCTTCAGAATTGGTAAAATGACCTAAGTTGTCTGCATTAGATCATTTGTAAAAACTATTTTCATGACCAAAACAAACAAAATGTTTAAACTTGATTTCTTTTTGAATTTGATAACAAATAAGCAATGCTTGTGTAAATCTTCAAACTGACAATTTTGCATTTACACAACAAACCCGAAATATCTATAGAAAACCCTAACCCTATCCCATTGTGTAATACAGATGGCAGAACCATCTAGAAGCCTGTTAATCTACTTCTAAACCTTTCTGAACGCTGGTTTTACAGACTTGCAACTAAGTAGAAAAGTTTGTAACTTTACTTGCACTTTGTTATTCCATTGATTTGAGTTTGATAATTGACACAATTTAACTGTTTTTGAGGGCATCACACTTAGTACAGAGCAGCCCTGGAATCTTCAGACAGAAGCCAAAATATTATGCTTTTATGATCTTTTTTCAAAGCTACTTGTGGTCTGGAGATACAAAGAGCTCCCTTGAATATGCTAACATCTAGTGCCCGACATTCCCTAAAGTGGCTGGCTGAGAAAAGGCTGCATGCATTCAACAACTGGTAGCATAACGCCAACCTAAAGGAAGTGTATTTTCATATAATTCTACACTGTTTGACCACACAAGTGTTGCTTTTAGGCATTGTCTGATGTGAATATAACACTTTGCAATGAATATTTCCACTGTGGTTATATTGCTCTGTACTTACACCATGCCTGTGAAAGACTACCCCTGTGTTGCTTCTTCTATGGTTAGTGCCATTTGTATTAATGGGAATATGCAGGACTGACTTAAATGACTCACAGGGTCTGACGCTGTTTGTGCGGCAAGAAAGGTTGGGCATGCAAGATGTGAAAGTGATTTATTTTATAGATTAGCACTGTGTATCAGTGTATAATCCTTTCTAGAAGTATTTGTGAGTGACAGCTTTCAGGGTTCATTCCCCACACTGCTGATAACTACGGCAGCGGCTATTTCCGAAATGTTTCAGTAGAATATATTAGAATATTGCAGATTTGCAGTGCTTTGAGTTTAATGTAACCTGAAGTTTAACCACAAAAATCGTTCCTTTTTCAAAAGATGCGCTAACATTACTAGCTAATGATACGTTTAGCTGTTACCGCAGCTCCAAATCCAGTTAAGCACAAAATTATTCATAAACCTAGCAGATTTAAGTTTAAAATCACATTGTATAGCATTTTTAGAGAGGCCAAACCAGAGTCCTGACTTGATTCTGGGAATCTGTGGCGTGAACAATAGATCAGGGTGATGGCAAGGAGGCTTGAATCTCAAAGACAAATCATTAAAACACCAGTGGAAACATGCAAACAGCAGGTCAGCAGTTGTAAGCATGATTTGACTGTTGGAATGGCAATAATTTGGTGAAAATAATCTCACAACTGCATCTTTTAGTTAAGTATATTTATATAGATATAAAATATTTGCATAAAATTGTACCGTATTCTTTTTACATTGTTCTGTTATCTTTAAAGAATTGTTTGTCTTTTCTTATTTGAAACAAACTTCTTGGTCAGGTATAAATAATAACAAATTTAAATCTGCGAGCGGTATAAATAATTGTAGGCCAATAATGGCTGGAAAATGGAGACAGTAAGTTCATGTTATTCTTATACTATTTTATATTGTTAGTAATAATTTAATGTTTTGGTCCCAAAATCCGAAAATGGTGCTTTTTAAATAGGAAACTTGTTGGTTTCCATTATTTTATTAGGCTCAGTGCTTGAAGCCATGTATAGCAGTCTATCAGGTCCATAAGTCAAACTTGTGGCAGTGTAAATGTAGAAAATTGGTGCTTAAGCAACCAGTTTAGTACTAGAAATGTTTTTTTTTTTAAATATATTTTCTTACCAAAAGAAAAACAAAATAAGAAAAACAGGCAGTATTTTTCTGAAACTACATAAATTGTTTCCCTCTTCCCCCATCCTTAGAGTGACCTACCATCCAAGAAAAACTAACCATGAAGTCTCTACTCATTTACTCAAACAGCAAAGTACATGAAAGCTTCCTCGAGCCCAAGATAAAACAGATTTTTCTGTATCCGTGCAGATTCTGTTGCCTGGAGACTTTTACAGAAACAGCAACTCAAGATTGAATACACACGTGTTTGTGTCTGACATTTGGTGTATTCTTATCTCTACCAAACACTTGCATGCTCAATATATAAAAGGAATGTGTTGAGTATCTTTTTTTTCCTTTTTACATGGCACAACTTGAAGACCACATCAGCTTCTTCCTGTGCACATTTTAGCTCAAAGACACCTTTACAGTTTAAACAAAGACTACGTGAATCAACAACATGGTCTCGCATCACAGACATGTAGAAAGACACACATACATAAACCAAACACACTTACAATTCACATTTAACACAGAGACACTTCTGACAATGGATTCTCTTTTTCTATATATTTTTTTCTGTTGTTTATGTTTAGTATACAAGGTAGTGAAGTAATGGAGATTTACAAAGTATGGAAATACCTTATGTCTAATTTTACAACAGAAAATAAACATTAGAAAGCTTCAATGTTATACTGATACTTTTTAAATCATTTTTAGTTATTGCAGTCTAAAGAATATGGCTTTTTCTAGTGAAAAGTCCTATCTGAACTAGAAAATGAGAAAATTAAGAAACTGGTTTTATAGTGTGCAGCTTCATCATTAGTCCTAGTGATCTCTGACATTATTAAATTGTGGAGCAATTTTCTACTTCCACATCCCCACAACTTGTTTAGAAATGACTGACATGCTTTGTTTCCCCTATGAATGTACACATATTCAGTTACTTTTACTAAATAGAGATTGTTGCGGATTACATTACATCTACTCAAATACATTATTATAATATCTCTATGGACTAAGAGATTCAGGAATGTAAAGTAGTAATAGTTCTTTAGGCAGTGACAGCTCACACACCCGTCCTCCTCCAACTTGGCCTAAACTTTTATTTTCTATGCAGTACAGCAGATTTTTTCACCAGCAAGCCAAGAAAATTTAGTTCCTGTACGCAAACTGGTGGTGCCTAAAGAAATAGAGGTATCTCACCAGGATTTCTTTGGTCTTAATGTCAAGGAGATGCAGTCAAGTAAAAAAAAAAAAAAGAAAAACTCAGATTGCGATGAAATAATTTCTTTTTTTAACATTAACATAAGAAACATTATCCCAGAGGATTACCTGATACCTATATTCTATATGCATTAAAATTCAGGATGAAAAAATTATAAACTATGAATTAGTAATTTGAATTAGATAATTTATTTTTAGCCAGTGGTGGACTGTTTGATTGTCTAACTGGATCAGACTGCTAAAATCATAATAACTTTGTTTTTATTTCTTTTCATATATAAACCAAAACAAAATTACTAAAAGGGTTGCAGAACATCTGCTTAAACATCTTAATATCTCCTGGTCGAATGCCCTAGTTTTCAGGCTGCTTAAGATGTAGAATTTAGTAGTTTTGTAAACTCTGTGGCAGTCTAAATAGCTGTTGGGAATGTGTTTGTAAAATAAAACAGTCTATTTTCCTGGTCTTCCTGAACGCTTCTGTGTGAAAAATAGTGCTATTGTAAAACAAAATAGATAATTTCAAGACCGTCCTTGAACAGCAATACTTAACTCAAAAATGAAACCCTCACTTACTACTTCCACTGCTTTAGGAGACAATATGAAGGCACATGTCCTAAATACTTTTCTAATGTAGTAAATGTCATTGAAATAAGACGTTCGGGTTTGCAGATGTAGGAAACATTCTCTATAATGACTGAAGCTTGCTGGAAAACATGGTGACATAGCTCTTTGAAAAGGTGTAATGCGGAATGTTGTCCTCCATTATAGGAATGTGACAAACACTTCAGTCTAAATCAATGTAAAATAAAAAAAATAAAAACATGCACTCGCTGGCAGTTTAAAATATGATGCAGCAAAACCAAAATCCAATCAACGCAGCCGTTAAGGAGTAGAAAAGAATAAAATGTCTCTACAAAGGCAGTGTGTAGCCTCTAAAAGTTTGAGAATCCCCCCCTCCCAGATCTATTTTGCTCCCGACAAATTCTGCAACCCAAACATCTACAATAAAACCATCTGAGTCTATACTAAAGGTTCCCGACACAAAGATCCCTGCTTCCCCATTTGCCCTGCAGCCTGACCCAGGCCGGAACGGACCCTGAACTCAGGGTTCGTTTGATACTCCTTGTTCTTCCATTTACTTCTTGAACATGTCCTGCAGAGGTCCGGGCAGATACTTGAGGACTGTGTCAAGGATGCTCTCCTCATCCTCTTCATCGTCTCCACAGCCTCTTGGGATTGCCTTCTTTGGGCGTGTCAGCGAACCCTCACAGGCCTGCTCCATGGCGGCTTTCTCCTCCGCCTCTTTTTCTTCCTTCTTTTTTAAGCCGTACTTAAAGGTAAAAAAAAAAACAGGTGATAAGAAAAGAAAGACAGAAGGTTATTGAAGGAGAGCAATTTGTGCACTCAGTTTAAAAAATGCTCAAATCAAAGACTACAAGTGGGCAGTAAATAACATTCTATCTTTATGTTGAATTCAGATGTAAGGAGCAGAAAAACCTGCTGCATTTAAAATCAAGATGAAATTTACAGATATAGATTTTAGCATATTCAACTAAACTACATTGGTGTGAAAAATGTATTTCCCCTTGTATAGATTTTATTTGTTTTTGCTTGGTCACTCTAAATGTGTACACAAATAAAAGAAAATGTCAATATGAGACAAAGACAACCTGAACAAAAACAAAAGGCAGTTTTAGGATAGTGATTTACTCTGCAAGAGGAAAAAATCTTTTCAAATCGACTTGGTCCTATGTAAAGAATTGTTTGCCTTTATTTTCAGATCTTGAGTTAAATTTGATTATCCACTTTTTTGGTTCAGCTGTACTATTAATGGCTGAGCCATATCACTGCCAAACCTGGTGATATAAATTTGAGCTCACCAGACAAGATGTGTTGAAAGTTCTGAAAAAGTGTTGGAGAAAAAAAATAAGCAAAATAAAAAGAAATTGACATCTATCAGTCTGGAAAGGGAATGGCAAATCTATTTAGACTTTATAGCAAAAATCAGTGCGGGCCATTATCTACAAAAGAAGAAAAATGGAAAAGTTGTTAACCTTTCCAGAAAAGGTTGGCCAACCAAAGTTACCCTGAGAGCGGACCACTAACTAAAACACAGCAACCAAGAACATCTAAGGTACTACAGGCTTACTAGCTCTGTTTTCACGATTTAACAAAATGGAAGAGACTTGGCAAAAATGGCATTCATGGGGGAGTTAAAAGTCAAGGATAGGGTATATTAACAGATTTTGCATTTAAATCTTAAATGCAAAATATTAATATATATATATATATACTGTTTTCTTACAATTACTGCTCTAAGTGGGTCACTTTGGCAGCTAAATGGCAAATTTTACAGTCTTTATACTCCAGTTTACGATTAATCAATTACTAAATTAGTTGACGATTATTTTAATAATCGATTAATCACAATTATTCCGATTAATTGTTTCACCCCTAATTAACAGTAAACAGCAATTTCATGAAGTAATAGTAGTAAGTGGTGGATTTAAGGACAGTGTGATATGCATTTTTTCTTATCTTGGTTATATGAAAATATTTGTAGGAGTTTATATAAGACTTGATTTAAAATTGGACCATCAATCTTTTTAAACACAGCCCTAGTGTTCACAGGTAAGCACATTAGTCCATAAGGTATTTCATTTAATATCAAATAACAGAAATTTGCTTAAATGCAGAACAGATTAGTATATTTTTAAGTCACAACTAACCCTTTTCACATCAGTCTTGAGCCAAGCTCAAAGTAAAGAAATTAAGTCTAAAATGATTTCCAAAGAAAATGCAAATCTCAAGTTGAATCCTAAAAAAAAAATCATATTTTTCAGGCTAAAGCAAGTAATTTGATCAAATATGTATCTTGATCAGAGTCATGATAATTCAAGATCTATAAAATATGATTTTTTTAAATCCGAACAACCACAGAGAACTTTACTTGGAAAATTAGTGCTGATGTTGCTTTTTAAAGGAAATATTAGGCAAAATAATTAAAACATCCACTAATTTCAGCAAATATTTGTCATGATCTGGCCTGTTTGCTTCTCCTTAATTAGTAATTCCTTTCACCTGTCGTTTCCCCCCCCCTGCCTCAATTATAATTTATTCCTCACACCTGTTTCCTCCTGGTTATATTCAGTTCAGCCTGAGCATTCAGTGCCAGATCATTATTTGTCTTTCTGTTAGCCTCTCTGTTATTTTTATTTCATGGTTCTTGTCCTGGATCCTGGGGCCACTGGAATGAGGGTTTTTGTGTCTGTATCGTCTCCTGATCGTTCACTGTTCGTCCCCCGCTGAGTCCTCTGGGTTTTTAGCTCTATATGTGGGGAGGTTCAGTTTTTATCCAAGTAAGCCTGGCTCCAGGGAGGAGACCAGTTTGCATCAAGTTCTGGTTCCACGTCCTGTCTCAGCTACCCTCTGCCACTGAGTCTGCCCGTCTGCACCTGATCCTGTCTGCCACCTAGTCACGCTTTCGGACCCTGTCAGACTCTGAACCCGCCTGGGAGCTTGTGGATGCCTGGAAGCCTGGATCCTGCCACCCGTTCTGTTCCTGTCTGTTCTGGATCCCTGACCAGGATCGGCTTCCAGCATGACCTCTGGGACTGCAGCACTTGGGGACATTCTTGGTCTGGACTGTTAAACCAGAGTGTCTGAGATTGGGCGGTGCACCCAAAACTGGGGTAAACAACTGATATGGATCAGGTGTAGATAGAAATTATTAGAAGGGAGCCAAGGGGAAAGGAAACTGGTATAGGGGGGTGGGGTACAGCGAGTAACACACACAAAAAAACAGTGCCAGAAAACAACTACAAAGATATAAAATTACAGAGAAACTAAAAATAAACCACTGACACTGGAAAATGATAAATAGAAAAAAAAGACATACATGTATGACACCTAACAAATTACCAATGATTATTATTCTTTAATTCAAAAATGGGAATTCAACCAGGTCCACATTTCCAGGTCAATTAACTTAAACTTTAATATTAGCTTACTGCAAGCATTGCTTTAGTAAGATATTAAGTAAAAAAATAAATACGAAGAATGTGTTTCTGCTGGGTAAAACACTTTCTATTATGACCTCTGGGAAGACTTTACATGTTGATGTTTTTCAAGACAATACCTGCATCTTAGGAGCAGCACTGGCAGCCTGTGCATAATGTCAATACAGCCAGTGGTAATGCTGACATCACTGTCACCAGGGATGCCTCTGTCTCCTTTTTAAAAAATCTTGCTGAAAGTACCTTAAAGATGCATAGTTACATTTAATGCCAATTCAAAAAAGACCAAACACTATTTGATCTTGTTAAAATAAGATTAAATACACCAAGAAATAGTGACAGTGGGTGTTTGGTCTTTTTTGAGCCTAAAAAGAATTCCAGCGCTGAGGACCATCAGCAGACATAAATAGAAGTGACGCCATCTTCTGGCAATATAGTGGAAAACCACAAAGACAGTTGGTGACAATTGAGACAATTAAAGACCAGCTGAAATTATTTGGATAAATGATCTACAGCAACTCTAAGGCTGTGTCGAAACATTGGCCCTTACGCCTTTAAAGGGCACTATATAGTGGTTACGCCTATTTTAAATGAGTGTCCGAACGTCTAGTAGACGAAAAAGTAGTGGACTCGAAATTTCCCACAATGCACCTTAAAAAATTATTTATGTTTAGGTATTTATGCACAAATAATGATCATCTATGGTCACTAGATGAGCAGATATGTCCCAGATTGCTTTGCGGGAGCTCTCCTCGCAAAGCGTCATGGGATTTGTTGTGACAGCTTTGGCTTCCAGTTCAGTGAACATTAACTTTCATACTCTACTCTGAGCATTGTTTGAGTTTTCTCCCTTTTGGAATTAAATATTTTCTTGCAATTGTTTCACACTGGATCTTGCACATTTTGCCATTATTTTATACTTTCCTAAGAGGGGCTAAAATGAGCATAAAGAAAGTGCAAATACAAATAACAAATAATACATCAGCAAATGCAGCAATCTTTTAGAAAAACTTTATGTGCAACTAGAGTAAGCTACTGACACGGCAATATCAAAATATCAATGACTAGAAAGACCAAGTCAAGTCAAGTCCAACAACCTTTTTCCTCAAGTCGAGTAAAAAGTAATTAAATTTGTGAAATGGGTCTGACAACATTCTAATTCCTACTTCCCAGTTTCTGGTATTTGCTTATTTCATTTTTCTTTGGAATTAAATTTGTTGAACAATCAGAAAAATTTAAATGTCACAATAAATCAAAGAATGTATAGGTCCACATACATTTTCCCATCACACAAGCATAATTTTCTTTTAAAGACAGGAGTACATAAGAAATCACAACCCATTTCAATAATCTATTATGAGAATAGCTGAATAGGAAGCCTCAGTGTCTTATTAGGCTCTAATGGCTAAACAAACCCCTCTTAATGTCTTAAATACACATTTTTGAAAAATCTGTTGAATGGAGAAAAAATTTTATATTTTCAAGGATTTACCAATTCAGCTGCAGAGTACAAACATCTAGCATTTCTGATAATAAAGTAAGAAACTGGTCTTTAATAGATGAGAGTATTTGAAGTATTTTCGGCAGTAATGAGCATTTTCCTGTTTGAGTTATTTTTGATAAAATACGCAGAAGCCTGGAGCCTTTTAAAATTAGCCGTGAAATTGGGACGCAGCAACAAAGGGGAAAAATAAGGCTCAAACAAAGCCTTTAAGAAATAGCTGTCCTAGATTAGATCCAATATTTGTCCTTGATGTTTTTTTTCATAGTCATAGTTTCACACATACAATGGAAATGAGTGAAAGAGCAGTAAAGCTTAAACCACGACTGCTTTAAAAGTTTGTAAGGAGGTGTAACTGAAAGGGGACTACATACAAAACTTGAACTTTTTTTGTGTTTTCTGTAATAAAATGTCACTGCTCATATATTAGTTGAGCCCTTGTGCTAAATCCAACAGCGGAACTTTAAAATGTTGTCCTACTGGCATAAAGATGCAGTAAGTCAATCATGGAGGCTTTCTACTGTCCTTAAAAAAATCCCAAAGTAAACATCATTGATCAGTCAGCAATAAATAACATTAACATCATTCTAAATATATATCTGATCATCTATCATTAAATGTGTTTAAATAATCTGTAAATGTTTACCTTGTCCCTGATGGTCTGCCGTACTTTTTCCCTTTCTGCCTCCATGCGAGCATGTTTGGCCTTCCTCTCCTCCTCCTGTTGCCTTAGCGCCTCTTGTCGCTCCTCTTCCTTCTTAGCTGCATCCGGATCTTTCTCCTCCTCCCCACCGAGCATCTTACCCATGTCCTTGGTGGCCCCTGGACCCAGATCAGACAAACACACATGATTAAGCAATCAATCAGGAAAATGTTGTAAAATGCATTTGGCATAGATTATAGATTATGCTTCAAAGTATAACTTTAAGTCAGGAGTATAAATGTGCAATATTTAATATCTAAAATCCATTGTCTATGTACTGAGAGTTATGCAGTGAGTGGATGAACTGCAGATCCTTAAGATGTCCAAGAAAACAAGAAAGAGGAGGAAGAGCCAGCTGGAAAGGCTTCAGAGAACAAAGGAGGCTGGGGAAGATACATTCTTCCGTCCGGTGTCGGCCATCTGTCCCTCCTACCTGTGCGTCCGCATTCTACTTCACTTTATATAGCAGATATGTAATGAAATGCGAACAGTTTTTGTGCAAACCGCAGCAGTTTGCAATACATAAATTGAAAGGTAAATAGTGAAACATAAAAAGGCTTACATTCTTTAAAATGTTGCCTAAAATAAATCCTCCCGCAGTCTATGGTTGTAAAAAAAAAAAAAGATTTAATATTTCAGCAAAGCTAAAATGTCCAGTCCTTTTGTCTTTAGCTCAGACCAGACACTTCTGATGCTGTCTCTTGTTTAACAAAAGGAATGCCACAGCTGAAACCCATGTTTTGCAGACGTCTTGGCATGGTGGGCCTTAAACCACTGACTCCAGCTGCAGACCAATCTGTGTGACCACCCCACACATATTTCAAAATGGTTCTTATATGACAGTAATCTCCAGGGTGTGGTCATCCCTTTTGTCTGTACACTGTTTTCTACCAGATTTCCCTTCCTCTCATCTCTCGATTAATGTGTTTAGACACAAAGCTCTGTGTGTGGCACCAGGTGTATTTAATATTGAACCTTTTCACATCCATAAAGCATGTTTTTAATATAAAAGTGTAGGCTGACCATCAAGCGGATTAAAATTCCGTGAAAAAAGGCACCACCCCATCCTTTGTTTTAAGGCTTTTCTCTGCATCTGTTCTTTAAAGCAGCTAACATCTTCATCCGTGATAACAGACGCTCTGCAGACATCAAAGCTTCTCCCTCCAACATATCAATAATGCTGTTGTGACCTCAGTCTGATCAATAGTAAATACAGGACCACCTTAGAGTGTATGAATTATGGATTGTCCAGCAGAGAGAAAACTTCATCTGAGTATTGATCTTCCTCACAGCTTTATTAGGCCAGAACCTGAAAACAGATTTACTGTGTTTCACAGCTGAGATTGTTAATTTAAAGAAAAGCAATAAGAGTTGAGATGCATCAGAGAAAAAAATCAATCTTATGGAATAAGTATTCATATTGAAAATCAACTAGACAGGAGTCTGTCCTTAGATCATGACACATGCCGCTCAAACCACTCACTGCTTATTTTTGCAAGACTTTATGCAGGATGTTCAGTTTCCACTTGATATTGTTCTATGCTTTGGTTGATGCCAGAAGATGACACGTAAAGCATGAACTGAATGACCTGATAATATTGCCCCGCTCTCTAGGACATGAGACGTTCTTGGTCAGAGCTGAATTAGATTTGTAAAGCATCTTTTGATCAAGGTAACATTAATGCTGATATACTTTTAAAACTCACCTAAAGGAAAAATATTTACACCACAGGTGGAAAACAGTATATTTCAGATAGCTGCTTTTGTTCTTGGGAGTCAGTGATTCAGACCATGCAGTGCGCAGCATTATTCCTGGGAGTGTTGGGGAGTCTAGGCTTAGTGGTTAGAGCACTGCATTTGTGCTATGTGCAAGTAACCGGTTCAATCCCCACAGCTGGCACTCTGGGTCCCTGAGCAAGACCCTTAACCCCACACTGCTCTCCAAGGTGCAGCACAATGGCAACCAACTGTTCCCCAAGGGGATTGGTTAAATGCACAGTATTAATTCCTCCATCGTGAGATCAATAAAGTTAAATTTCTATTATACATCACAAGGATCCTGAGGAATAAGACGTTAATAGAGACATATAGCTTTACCTCCCAGTACCATGACAGGGGCATATCAGCCATACCAGCTGCCAAGCACAGAGATAATGTGTTGGGCTTGTTTTGTGGCATTGGAGAAGGTTACTCCTCTTTACACCACAGTATTTCAGAGATAAACGTAAGGTCAGCGTTATAACAGCTGAGGTTAAGTCCAAACCAGTTCCTTAATCGAAAACTGACCAAAAAAGTAACATAAAATAATTTTCAAGAAAAAAAAAATCCAAAGTGTTGTAGTGGTCCAATAAAAGTCCAGAGTTATTGCTGCTAAAGATATTAAATTAATGTCTGCGAAATGACAGCACTTAGTGGCAGTAATTATTCCTCTTTCTCAAACCTCTTCCTGTGCTTTTTATCATAACTAGGGGTTATCTATGAGAAGTGGTCAAATACTCAAACCGAGGCCTCATAAGGACTCACAGGAGAAGCAGCAGAACAATTTGGAGTACACTTTTCTGTGCATGCATCAAATCTGGCTTCAAACGCACCCTCTGGGGTTGGTGAGGTGAGGGAAGGCAGGTCCTGTTGTTCAGCAGCAGACCCATGCGGAGGCCCTAATGGCCCTGCAGCGCAGTGTGGTGGCAGCAAACCTGAGGTCTACAAATTAGCACACAGTTGGTGGGAGGAACGGGCAGCAAAATGTTCCATTGGACTCACTGGGGAGTCGGGTTAAGGTCAGACTGCCTGATGGGGTTCCTCAACGTGTTAAAACACTCAAATATATGACGGTATGTTTGCAAACACTTACATATCAGCTCAAGGAGGAAATCTCTATGACTTCATTAATTTTCTTCCATATTAAAGAACAGACATATGAAAAATATTTAATCTAAAAGAAGCTATGTCAGTATTCAAAAGATAAAAACACTGCAACCAATATCTAGTAGATGGTAGAACACAGAAAAAACGAATCTTAAATAAGTATCCCTGTGTGTATTTCAATAATGGAAAAGCCCTTTGCATCAAAATCTAAATTTGATTTGATTTACTAAAAAATTATGAATTTTACTGAAACCTATAAAAGTAGCACATAGAGGGCAAAGGTGCTCAATGGAAGCTCCAGGCTAAAAGTAATCCAGACAGAAATACTTGACATGTCAGATTTAGGATTAGTAATATAACTGAAGAGGATGTAGTCTGACCACTTGGTCCATCTAACTTTCACGCAAGCTCTTTATCCATCATATATTCCTTTATCCTTCTCTTTGTCCTTTGCTGATCTACATCTTGCATCTTTAGTTTTTTTTTTCTTATGCTCCTCACTTTAATAAAACTAAACTACACCTTGACCTGAGTAAGTCAGAAGAGGTAATAAATTAGAGGGCACATCAGTCAGAAAACCCGGAAGAGGCCGTGGATGATTTAATGGAGCTGAAGTTTAACCTTCTAGCTGAAGAGAGGTCATCCCTCTGCATGCAACTCTTAACATGCAGTCTGTGCTGTATTGGAGAGCAGAGATCAAAGTACTTTTATACGTTGGATTGGCCCAGTCAAAGTCCAGATCCGAATCAAGTATCTGTCCAATCATGTATCACTGGTTAGATGTGGAACAATGGTACACACAGACCAAAAAGACCAGCAGCTGCATAAAAATCCACAGCTATAATGTGTCTTAGGGGTTTCTGCAATACGCTTCCTATAGACAGGAAGAACCTCCTGCAGCTGTTTGTCCTACCGTAGATCAGGTGAGGCCTCTGACTGCAGACACTCTCTTGTTGTTGGACAGGCTGATTAAGAGGATGCTCAGGGTCCTTACTCATTTTATGAAGAATTTCTCATTGCAATCATAGTAAAAAGTCTTTTAACAGCATATTGACCCAAAGGGCTTATATGCTTATATGCATGCAACAGTTAAACATGTATACTAATAAAAATGTAAAAAAAAAAAAACCATAAATAATTTCCTTCTAAATCACATTTTCAGGTTAAACAACAGTGATTACGTACTACAATAAATAATAGCAAAGAAAGTTTGAAAGCAAGGGGTGCAAGAAGAAAGTTGATATCAGGGAGATGAGGCGTGCACAGCTGACTCCTCCTCCAGCCCATCAGATGGATGGCCGTGCTTCAGGGGTGGAAGGGTTTGAAAAATTGAGCTAATTTAAATAATAGATCACCTCCATCTACAAATTACACCCTCATAAGTCAGAGAGAAGGCTAAAGCCCCGCATAATTCATCAGCTGGCATGATCCTGTTTGTTTGGTAGCACTAACACCTGTCCGATCCTCACACAGAAACCTCACACATACTAAAGTGCTGCTGAGCAACACAAACTGGTGGGGTCTTTGGGAGCCTTTGATTAAACTGGCTTTCAGCTGCAGGTTATCTCTGTATCCTCGCCTGCTCATCTTTCTCACTCCTGCACAGGAAATGAAACAGAAGGCTGGACCCTGCCTGGTCCGGACCATCTAATTCTGATCCTACAGAGATTATCTCTCCCTCATCTCTCTGTTCAACTACTTTATGAGAAAGGACGGGAACCTCACAGCTCTGGTTTCCTGAAAGAAGAAGAAAAACAGGCTGACAGCATCACAGACACCAGAGATGTTGCTTTCAAATTTCCTTAAAAATAAACCGTAACTAGCCGTAACTAACCGTGGTCACTGCAAAACTACATTGAAATTCCCATTGAAGGAGTACTGGCTTTGCTACTATAATTTATTTAATATCGAGTATATACATTAATATAAACCCAGCTGAGTGTCAGGGAAGTGGTAGCCACCCAGTTCAAAGAGAAGGGTCAGCAGCCATTAACAGACTCTCAGTGGGAGGCAAATTATGACCTTTTAACTTGGTATGGATGGAAGGTTGTATGGAGGCGGGTGACAGAGGCAATTAAAATGCAGAAATTGAAGGAGGAAGAGTGTGGATCTGCTGCATGAAGGGACAGGAAGGAAGATCAGCACCAGGGAGGAGGTTTGATGACAAGAAATGACAAGAAAAGGAAGAACCAATGGAAAGAAAAAGCTTGAGATAAAAAGGAACACAGCTTACAGAAAGAACTGAGAATTAGAAGGAGCAATGTTTAAAAAGTAGGAAGGACGTACTGCTCAGGGTGTACGTTTTAAAGGTTAGGGACTGATTACCGGTATACGACTTTGTTTCTGTGTTCTGCATTAAGAAACCTGTTTCCTGCTTTTAACGTTCCTCTCTGTTCTTTTAACATTTTTCGGGTCCAGGGACTAAAAATAAACAGTAGAAACATGTTATGCACAGCAACAATGGACAAGAAATAAAGTTTAAATGTGTCCAATTTTGTCTTTCTCTTTTTAATACTTAAGTAAAAATAGAGCAGTTGACTAATATAGTTTACATGAACTCAGTATGAACACTTTTCTAATTTGAATAATAAGAAAGATAAAACAGAAAACACAAATTATGACCTGTTTATATATCTAATATAAATGCGACACCAATTACATCATCCCCTTGGTAAGCCCATTTATTTAATCTTTAAAGGCACTGAATCACACTCAGAGATCAAATATATTTACTTTAAAATCCCATTTATACTTTATTTAAACTGCAGGAATTCCTATCCTTTCTGATCCTTTGGACACAGTATTGTTATTCTTACCAAATTACTCAAAGTCCTGTTTAAGAAAAGAATTTTGTACTATTTCTAATATCAAAAGGTTCTGCCAAAGACAGACCAGATATATTTTCTCAACTTTTTCCACCATCCATGCAAATGTAATTTAATGTAAAACATGCAAAAACCTGTTAAGTTAAACTCTAAGGAAATATATAATGGTGCAAAAACCTGGTTATATAGGTGTGCCCACCTTTAACTTACGGCTTTATTGATGCTTCTTTAGATGGAGGTACAATTGAGATCACACTATCGATTATAATACATTTAATTAGTCTGAAACAACATTGAGGTATCCAAGGTGAATTTTCTTGTCTTTCCCGATTTGTAGCCATAATGTGCGGCAAAAATATGAAGATATCTTATTGTATATGGATATTAGTAAAAAGTAGAGTGCAAAAAAGGTATTAGTTCGAGAAAGAATGACATCTGCAAGACTTTATGTAAAGTGTCACAATGTAAAGACAAGACAACAAAATCCTGAAACTAAACATCAGCTAAGTTAGCTCAATCAGCAGTTAGAGAACAACAGATGAATTAAAGTGAAAATAAAAGAGGATCCGGGAAAAAAAATATTAAGTGGCGCGATGAAGTGAATAAAGCTCAGATGAACAGATTGGATAAAGGAGAAGTAAAGAAGAAAGGACAGCAGGACATGAGCAGTGAGGAGGATAAATGAAGGAGAGCTTGGCTGATAGAGGAGGATGAAGGGCAAGCTGAGCTGTAAAGGAATAAATCTCATTTCATTGTGGCTTGGTGGTCATTGAACTGATGAAACTAGATGAGGGGGATGATTTAAAGAGGCATGACCTCTGGGGCTTGGGGGCCCTTGACTTACAAGGAGATTCACACTGACATCTTTATGTTGTTCTCAGTGAATAGGTCTAACTGTAGGAGACAAGGAGGCCAGAGGGTTTGGAGGAGAAGCAAGAGGAAGATTGTGGAACTATAGAGGAAGAGCTACTGTCTGGAAAGTTTTATGATGTTCATGTGTCACAGAGGTTATTGAATCAAACATTTAACATGTGAGGACTGGTTGTAGTCAGTGGCTTCATTAATATGATGTTTTCCGTTGGAAGCGATGATGAAGGATGAAAACAGAGGAACAAAAAGGAGGGGCACCTTTGGTCCAGGGTTAGACAAATAATTTAAATTGAATTAGTTTTGCAGCTTATGTCAGGTTTTTCATATGTTAATTTGGATTTTAACAACAATGCAGGGAAGAGTGAAGATGTGTTTCTAGCCAGAGCCTCAGTTAATTTCCCAAATCATTTGTTTCTCCAGCATCCCTCATTTTATTTAAAATAATTATATGAACAGTAAGACTATCAATAATACGCTACTGCATGTTCAGGAGTGATAAATACATTAATGTTACAACGTTATCAACATAACGCAGAATTTTTAATGGAGTCAGCAGGAGGTTTTCTTGATCTTAAGCAATAATTTTCAGGCTAGAAATGTTCAGAGGAGCAGAACATGGATGCTGTAGCAGAGTACTTACCACCCAAAGCTTGCTTCATTACAAAATCCATGGTTTCTTCTGCCTGATAGAGTCGCTGCTCTCAAAGCCAAAGAACACTGACTATGTAACAACCGAACCTGAAGGCGTCTTGTCCCAGTGGTCCTCTATTTCCTCTTTTTCTGTTGTAATGTCAAACAACTCTCTGCAAGACAAGAAAATAATCGAAGGACATGATGAAATAATGCAAATGGAATTTACCCACATTACATAAACTTTAAACACTGCCTCTATAGGGGTCATGTAAAAGGATCACTGAAAAAAGACTCATAGCTCCCCAAACTCACCGAGTATTGGACACATAATGAGATCTTTATTACATTATTTCCCTCTGTGGCAGAAATCCTATTCAGGGAAGAGCTTGGATCAATACTGAGAACTCTATCTGTGCTTGAACAAACAGATCAGTCATCACTGCCTGCCAGCAAATATTTCATGTAGAATTAACACTTTGATTACAAACGATTCATCACGACCACCCAGCTTGTAAGAGCAAAATAGTGCATATGCATTAAAACGCACATAAACACACATAAGACACAATAAAACTCAGTTTCTGATAACAAAGTAATACAAACACACACACACATATACATATATATATATATATATATA